AATGTGTGGGTAGTTTGGATGATGGGGTCTGGATTGGTAACGAGGGGAAGGACCTCTAGATCTGGACCAATTGCTTGCCTCTATTGTCGTGACCTCTTCTCTCCTTTTCATTCCGAGCGCACCTCCCGTGCCGCTCTGAATGACCTGAGTTGTTGCCTTAATTGTCGAGTAACTCAGGATCTTATTGGACTTGAGTCTCTCTTCTATCATATCTCCCATTTTCACCACTTCATTGAAGGATTTCCCAACTGACGTCACCAAATGACCGAAGTAAGTTGGCTCTAGAGTTTGTAGAAAGTAATCTACCATTTCTCCCTCTCTCATTGGAGGATCAACTCTGGCTGCCTGTTCTCTCCATCGGAACCCAAATTCCCGGAAGCTCTCCCCGAATTTCTTCTCAAGATTTAGCAATGTGATACGGTCTGGGACTATCTCAAGGTTGTATTGGAAGTGTCCTGCGAAAGCCTGTGCCAGATCATCCCAGGTGTACCACCTGCTCGGATCTTGTCTTGTATACCACTCCAGTGCCGACCCGCTCAAACTCTGGCCAAAGTAAGCTATCAGTAGCTCATCTTTGACCCCCGCTCCCCTCATGTTGCTACAAAACCCTGTAGATGTGCCATAGGATCGCCATGCCCTTCGTATAAATCGAATTTGGGCATCTTGAACCCTACTGGTAATTGGACGTTAGGGAAAGGGCATAGATCCTTGTAAGCCACGCTGACCTGGTTGCCTAACCCGTGCATGTTCCTGAAGGACTGCTCCAGGCTTTTAAATTTTCGCATCACCTCGTCCTACTCTGGGCTCTTAGCCGGCTTTTCAATCTCCGTAGGGACCTCAAAGTGGGGATTATAGGTATGTGGCTCGGGCGCTTTGAGTGTGAGTTTAGGGGGTAATATTGTGTATCGTGAGCCTGAAACAATGGATCACTAGATGATCTGTGCAATGGGGCTGGGGCAGGCGCCGCAAAGACGGGCACATTTGGTGGAGGAGGATTCTGATTGGGTGGTGGAGCTTGGGGATCATAGGCCTCTCTTCCCTGATAGTAGTGATGGCTTGGGAAACTCATTGAAGGGCTGGTAGAGGGGTATTTCGGCGTGTGTCCTGGTAAGAGTGTAGGTGTAATGGGTAGTTCATGCCCCTTTTGGGCTCTAGCTAAGGCTATCTGCATTTCATTCATTTCCAGCCTCATCTTTTCCATTTTTTCCATGGCCTTTTTCAACATCTGATTTGTCGTCTTTTCCGACTCAACACTGTTATCTGAGCCAGTCATGCTTTCTGGTATGGGCCCTTTTGATCTTGTTTGATAATGGTACGGTGCCAGTACGCTTTAACAAACTAACTGGTATAGATTGGCAAAACAACAAACTTGTCAGTGTTAGAGTCTTAACAGATATTGTAATTACACGTTGGGGGGATGCAATGTTCTTAGTAAGTTAACCATTTCTAATATGCTTTTGCTCTGACCGCATTCATCATCCCGTCTTATTTTATTTGTGCCTCTTTCGAGTGTTTCATAGACCTCTCTTTTCTCCTTTTCTCTCTCTTTTTTCTTTTTTTTAATTACGGTCGAATCCTGCAGAGATTGCCTACGTATCGTGACCCCTCACGAATCAGACCAGGCGTAGTTCGTGCAAGAAAAATTTTCAATTTTTCATTACTTAAAACAAACTATTACAAACTAAAACCCTTTTTGCAGAAAGAAAATAACAAACGCAAACTAAGGTTAAATACAAGTTCCAATACTACAGAAATACTTTGGCGCGAAAAGACAACGGACAGACAAACCACAAGTTAAAAAATAGAGAAATACAAACACGAACTACGCATACTCTAAAGCTTCAAATATGGGTGCCCGCGGGGCATCGCTCGGCCTCGCTGCGGGCCTCGGTTCCAAATCCTTTTGGAGTTGCTCTAATTCATTCATGGTCCGCTTTACATAGATTAGCACTGCTGAGACAAAAGTAGTAGGGGTCATGTCTTCACAAGCCCGACATCTTCTGAAAATGGCGCGAGCAATGGATCTAATCCTGTCCATTACTTGCTTCTTTTCTACAAGCAGGCGGTTTATCTGATTACTGCATGCTTTTAACGCCTGAGAATCCTGCAGGTGCTGATTCCGCAGCTGCTGCACTTCTATCTCCATTTGGGCTAACAGATCGTAACAGTGTCTACTTTCTATTTCAAAATCCCTCGCCTGCTCAACTGCTTTACCCTCGAGGGTATCCACCTTTTCCTTCAGTTTGACAATAATTTTCTTGTGGTCCCATTTCAATCGATCTAAGTATTGGCGACGTTCATCTGCCCTCGTAGCCCCCTGTGCTTTGAGTTCTGCCCTGACATTTTCAAATCTTTCTAACCTATCCCGATATTCCCTAACTTCATTTTTTAGCCCTTTTATCAATTGATCATCTGATCGACTCCTCGGTCGTTTATCAATGACCATTTTAGATTTCCGGGTTTGGGCCCTAAGTGTTTCGTTTTCCCGGGTCAATCTATTCTTTTCACCCTGATCCGCATCAATTTGCACGCCGTTATCGAATTTCAGACTTTCAACCTGTTGCTTCAACTTACCAATTTCCGCTCGATAACCTTCTTCTCTTGCCAGCCAATCCCATTGTGCTTGAGATGATTCAGTGAAATCTTGGACGTGGGGCCTTTTGGAGGGCCTCTGCGGAATCAAGAACCTTTTTCCAAACCAAGCATTGTACTTAGGGTCTACCTTACCCTTAGCCCGATCTCGCACTCTGGTTTTAGGCTCGAGGAACCTACACCGATTCCAGATTTCACGGATTTTTCCTTCAAAAAAGACATCTTTTGGGCCTAGTTCAATCATTTGCTTGCTTAGATTTTCGACATTGTGCACAGTTTGAAACCTTCCCAGTTGACGCAAAACCCTGCAAGGGGCATAAGGTTGGATGCTTCGAACTCCCATTAAGAGGATATAGGGAACTTCAGCTGAAGTATATATAGCTTTTGTATCAGGAAGCCACCCTAGGGTCCACTCGATTTTGTCAGCAGTTAATGATCTCAAAAGCGATAGCCAAGCCTCTGTTCCTTCGGGGAACTCAATGCCTGTTATCCGAGTCCCAAATTCTTCAATACAGCTCAATCCCGTCAGTCCATAATTCATGTACCCAACTCGATGGCAAAGGTGTTCCTGCATCCACAATTGCGGCAACAGGTTGCAACCTTGAAACAACTTCCCTCCCTCTCGGCATATAGTTAAAGCTCGATAGATTTCAGCTACGATTAAAGGAACT